ACCGCAGCACGATATTATGAGAAGAAACTGTTAATAGGCGGTGTGAGAGACTCATTGGTATACTGCGAAATAACAGCATTTTAATTGAGTGCGTGCACTAATAAAAACCACAGTCTGACTGGGCGACATTGTAATTAAGGGGGTTACTAACATGCGATTCAACATATATAACGTGATTGCAATTACATTAAGTGTTTTAAATTAGAAAATCAGAAACCCTCGAATGTGAAGTCCTCCGAATATTATATTCAATTTACTAATAAATATTATTTCACGTTTTATGCTGTTTTTATTTGATACAAATGAATTGCTTTGTTTGTTATACAATTGTTCAATGCGGTGTTTTGTATGTTGTAATTACGTACGAGAAGTAATGTATGTGCATAACCCTTTCATATGATCAATCATTAAAATTCAAAATGGCTAAACCATTGGTGTCGTATCGCCAGGCGAATCAAAATTGTGCGTTATATTTTCGTTGTTTTATGTCAAATTCAGTTTTAACACCATTAAATGTCTACGCAATATTTCATATACTTAAGACACAACTCATTGATTTATAATTGACCACATGATTAACTAAGTCGTGTCTTCTTTTTCGTTTTGTGAAGAAAATGACGAATTTTCACATAATCAGTGGTGATAATCTTGATACACAATTCCTGTGGGAACGTGTGTTGGTGGCATTGTTTGGCATATGCGCTGTTGTCGGATTGTAGATAGAACCAGTATTGACCAGGGTGAACTCATTATAATTGATCGGCTCAGTACTAAGACATGCTAATCTATTCTACTCTTGAGTAGCAAGTAAGCGAAACATTTTAAAATTAGATTTCCACAAGTCCATAGATCAATTAGTATGACAACGTTCAGAGATGACATCGTAATATTATTGGTTGACTTGATCATTTGTGTAACTAGTACGCGTAAATTGATTGGTGGGCTTGTTCCACATGCTGACCTTGTGGCCTAGTACGGTACTTTTGTTACAAAATGTACCTCTAGAAACCACGATTGCAATCATCGGTGCAAAAGTGTAAATCGTAAAACTGCCTGTTTACAAATAATCGATACACACACCTATTTGATTAAGTATGACGATGCATCCAGATTGGAAGAAACATTTGCGTGTTTTGAAAACTCGCTACCTCAATACATGTTGTGGTACATGCCAACTACGACCACATAGCAAATTATTTGTTTTATTTAACGTTAAACCACTGCCATACATCAGTATATAAATCGAGCGATCAGTGAAGTGCTATGTTTAGGTGTCATCTTATATTTGCGGAATAAATATGACGCCATTAATACATTGAATCCATATTCTGTAAAATTAATAATTGCATTAAGTATTTTTTATTTCACAATAAGCCATCTTGTCTACTACAGTTCCTATTAACATTTTATTATTATAGAAACTCGCTACACTGGATCCGCTCACGAGAGTACCATCATCCATAAGAACTTGCTGTATGTCGACGTCACTATATGGGGCGTCTGACGAGTCGAAGTGAACTTTCAACACCTGGAAAATTAGATATGAACACTAGCTTTAAGTTACGTTTTCCTTATGAATTGTTTGTCGTTTTGTATTCATGGACTTTAAATATTTAATTTATCAAATTTTCATAATTGATCATAACATTTGGCATTAAATTAATATATATTTTTTATCATTAATTATTTTTTTATTCACATATTTTATCACTAAATTAATATGTTTTAATATTATGCTAAATGATTAAATTAAATTGGAGGGATCTTGTGTTAACCTTATGTTTCGGTGGGAGCAACAATAATTAAGAAGAATTAAATGAAATTTACTGTTACTCTAAATGTGTGACAAATCATAATAACGAATAACGATGTACCTATACATATAAATACTGTGGGGGTAAACTAAGATCGTGAAACATACTGTATTCTAAGTTGTGTGGCGTTAGTGAGTCATCCGTGTGGATTTGTAACCAGTTACCCGATAATCACTGATATGGTAACATTGTTTGTTTCACTTCTCGGACATTGTTTAGAAACCATGATTTTGCATCATAACTTCATTATCTTTCGAAATATTTGCAAATTGTAGTGGTTGTACAATTTTTAGCATCCATGTATTGTACTAATTTGCATAAGTAACAGAATTTGAAGTTTCTGGAAAAGCGCATGAACAAATGTTAGAAGTGTATTTGCTGAGTGTATTTTGACGTGTTTCATGTGTCATAAATTAATTATCCGGGGGGGGGTCATTATGGAAAACAACACATGCATGTGTGTGTGGATTTAAAAAACTGAATGGTCCCAAGTGAACGATGTAAATCCTTTAAAATAAGATTCAAATTAATTAACACCGGGAAATCCAACAATATGAATGCAACAAATATAACTTACATGAGAACCAACACGCTTTGTGAGATTTGCCATATATTCTGGCAGGAGAGCAGGAATCGGATGGCACCCAAGCCACAAGTCTCCCGATTCTCGGTCTACCTCTATGTTGTCTACACCGGTATGTACATTTATACGCTGCAGAAACAATCAGTCTTTATTTAAAATAAATTATGTGGCCACGAGTTATTTGAATTCCAACTAATCATCAACGAATTTGACAAACGGAAAATACGACCCAATATAACCCCAGCTTCATGGCGTTGCATCAGAAGGGCGATATTTACATTTTATGGTTGGCTTATAGCAAATACTACTGTGTGGTGTAAGTATTTGTAAAAACCTCGAAATTGCTACACAAACAAAGAATAATAATCTGTTAAAGGTGCTAAGTATGGAATAATTAGGGGACAAAAAAACAAACCTGCGTAGAAATCGGAAGAATTGGTCATTTGATTATCGGAGACGCATTTATTACAGACAATGCGTTGCGCAAATTTCACCCAAAAATTCCGCATTGTGCTCTCGCAATCGCGGACCTTACATTTTTACAAGGTTTGCCATTTTTGTGGTCACGTGGTAATTACGTATGGAATAATTAGGGGACAAAAAAACAAACCTGCGTAGAAATCGGAAAAATTGGTCTTTTGATTATCGGAGACGCATTTATTACAGACAATGCCTTGCGCAAATTTCACCCAGAAATTCCGCATTATGCTCTCGCAATCACGGACCTTACATTTTTACAAGGTTTGCCATTTTTGTGGTCACGTGTTAATTACATAAACATTGACTCTCCAGTTTGTGCGAACGTGTCCCTCTATACTTAGGCTTTTGAAATATATACGCTAAATTACGGTTTTGAATGAGACAATAGACAGAGAATGCTTTAATCAAAAACGTCACTAAACCCTTCTCGCTACCTTAAATTTGACAACTGAATATACTTCGATCATGAGCTATCCCTATCATAAGGATTTATTTTTCAAATTATGCGATTCACTGGTCAATGTGTCCGTGATACTGGATTTGAAGCCACGAGTTCATGCTTGCCTGGCATGTGGAGTGTATTGTATATATACAGTATAAACAATATCAAATGTCGATATTTTCACTGGAACTAAGAACAATATTCACGCAAGATAATAGTTTTAAAATGTTGTTACGGAATGAGACAAATCTGTCAGATGTCCAGTCAAGAAGCCTACATATCAGCAATCGGGCAGGTGGGTTTTAAGAAGTCGAAAATAGAATTATCTACCTAAATTAAGAAAATGTTATTGTACTTATCATCAAATAAACAGGTTTATATCCGTGTACAACAAAAGGCACCTACATACATACTCTTTTAAAGTCGTTTGGCACCATTTCTTCAATATTAAGGATGTAAAAAGTTGGATTCTCACCTGCACCTCATTTAAATAGTTATCTGACTTCCTTTCAAACACTGTTATGTATTGATGTCGAGATGACGCCACGTACAGATACCTTCAGATAACAAAGTGATAAAGTGTCATTACACTGCCGAGTACAGAACTGCCACCTAGAATTTCGAGTATCGAAAATCGAGACGTCCACTCGTCACGAGTAATTTCGGGTCAAATTGGTGTCGCTGGTATGCATTTTTATTGATTTACGTTGTTAATTATATGACGCTGGGCTGAAGATTAAACATATTTCACTTCGCCGTATAATAATTTGGTATTGGTCCTTTTACTATATCCCTGTGTATATTATGCACTTAGACACAATTAGTTATATATTGGACAAATGTGACAAAGGCGTTATACGTCATATAATTAGTTTAATTAATTTCTTTCGGAAGTTCGACTTTATTTTGTTCTGCATGAATTCGCAATACTATATAATGCGCCATAATCTGCAAATTATTGACACACAAATATTGTTTTTTGTTTTCATAATTCAACGAAATATTTAAGAAGTTTGACTTCAATTACACAAGTGGAACAAGTTGTACGCATGGGTGAATGAGGTTTTTAAGTACGTGTGCAACATAACAACAAAGGTAGGAATTAGGTCGCAAAACTACAATCTGGATAGATATAGTTATACGAACATAAACGTGGACGTCGTGGTTGATGTTCTGGTAATTTGCGAACAATATATTGCGCCCATTTCAAAGAGATTCAAAAATGCGAAATGTATAATTTGAGGAACACATTTCCCAAAACTAACATTTCTATTCGTATATATAAGTATCTAACACTGGATATATGGATTCGTATATGTGCCTTCTTATGGTTACAATATCGTATGATAATATCGTAGTTATTTGTATGAAATATACATACAAACGTACCTTCCATCCGGGGATGTGTTTATACCATTCGGAGCTTGGTACCCGGATGCAACTATTCTATCTTTTCCACGAGGTTCATAAAATCCAATGTTCCCCAATTCAAGGTTTAAAATTATCTCATACTTTCTTCCGAATGGTGTAATTGAGTATCTATCGTTTGTATAATAGCATGATTCTGGTCCCACTGCCAGCACATCGTTAACACTGAAAAAGAAACCGATTGAGGAGAGTTAAATGGCATCCAGGGGCAATCCATTGTTAGTAGTTGATAGAAACTAGGCTCCACTTCTCATCAGTATCACAACCTTCGAGTCAACCCATAACGTTGTTAGCTAATGATGCGAGACGATCGCGAAATATAGATCATTGAACACATCCTTACATTACCTGTACATTGTTTTTCCAGTGATGGTTTTCAGGTGACTCAACGACTTCTCCTTTTCATTGAAGCGAAATATTATAACTGCGTCTGTGTTATTCTCGAAATGGTTGACAACAAATAGACGGATTTCATCTGGGAAGTGGAAATCAAATAAAACTGGATTAACATAACGCTTTACGTTGACGTAAGAAAACAACTGATGTGAACACGTTATCCTAAGGTAAAGGGTTTTAAAGTTTAAACCCTTTTGAAGAGGATATAATTTTACTGTAATTCTTCCTGACTTTGGATTTAAATTGTCAATATTGCGTTGTTTCAAATATACGTGAATATATCCGATGTGAAACCATTTGGATTTAAATCGTCATTACTAACTTATTTAATTTACTTATTTAACTTTAAAAAAACTTTCACGCATGACATGGATTTAAATCGTTTTAAATTTATACGTTTTACAGTTTCGCTAATATATCCAAGAATTCGACAATATTTAGTAACATGTCCTATGCGCTTCAATCTGTATCATATACTCACGGTGTAATATTGGATTTACTTTCCGGTAAACTAGTCGGTGGAGGACGTTGCCTTCGGTAATGTCAGGCTAAAAATGTCTGGTGAATAAATCCTAATGTAGATGACTGTAATTACACAAGTGGAGACATAATATATTGTATGAGGCTGTGTCATACTAACAATCACGTGTATGCATTAGAAACATGTTAGCGACACACACGTACCCGTGTCTTCGTGTAGACTTATTCCATGCGGATAGAAGTTATCTCTATCAAAATTCCCAATTAGATGTAGCTCTTGGATACGTTCATTGGGATGATTGAAATCAAATAGGAATATTTTTCCTGGTGTTGGATGTAGAGCAACTGTCGGATCAAATATATATCTGTACGGGTACAGCCCCTGTAAACGCGTGACAAGACAAGATTATAGTACAAAATGAATCAATATAAAGATATCATACTTACTAGATTTATGCAATGTATTGAGTGTCCGAGTTCAAGGGAAGTACATATAAGATATTTTGACACAATAGACGCGTCTAATCGATAATGTAAAAGTGTAACCCCTTCAGCACATGAAATGGTGACTGGCTACGTCATGCACATACCGATGAGATAAACGCCAGACCATGTGACGTCACTGTAATGTCTTCCGATCCTCTATCTGCATATCAAAATACAAACGACAAATTATGGAACGGCGCTGTGTGACAGGATTATTTGTGTGGGCAAATAATCTAGCTTGACAAGGTCGCGTGCGTTGCGCCCTCCGCGGAGCTCAAAACTCATTGCAAGAAGGCGTGAATTTTGCGAATTCGCAGTGTTGATCTTTCCGACGAGACGTACACTATTCTGTCTAATGCCGTTCGTCCGGCGAGGGCGTCATTCACGCCTACTTCACAGGAGATGCAGATGGACAGAAGACATGTGCTGTACATTTGAGTGTGTTGGGTGCATGCGCAGTAGAACCCAGACCAGTTTACATTCTCATCTAGTGATGATTCAGTTTGTCAGAACCAGTCAATTGTAACTTCACAGTATATGCATAATTGAGGTATGTTATAAACTCACCTATTCCTGGAACAATTCGACAAGGACCCGGATGTTGATTGTAAATTACTAAGTGGAAGCCTAGTAAGTATCTGAACAAAAAAAACAGTACGTATCAGAGTAAGTGGGGTTATGATTCGTGACTGGGTTATATCTAAAATAAGTCAGAAATGCCAGGCTATGCAAACAAATCAATCACAAGAAACGAATACGTAAGTAATAAACACGTAGTGTAGTTTATTACGTCAATACAGTACATCCATTGATATACCGGAGAATTTACTATAAAGTAATACATAAACAAGCGTTAAAAGGCGATGGTCGTCGCGCCACGTCCTGTTCGATATGGGACTCATAGCGACATATACAACGCGTGTAAAATACATTGTTTATTTACATGAACTTCGAACACGCGCAGTGCGACGACCACCGCGCTTTAAACACAACAACGCGGTAAAGACTGGCTAAAATAAATGCGCGTTCTATTTATAGGCTCGGTAGGATACTGAACCCTAGGCGGGAATGTCCCTAATTGGCCCGAAAGTTAACATTATAGAGCTTGGTAATAAAGTGGTGTTTTCTATCACGTTCACACTTATGTCAACAACATGTCTATTTATAGACGTGGTCTGAAGCAAAAATTTTACTTATATCAAACTGTGATAATACAATAAATGTCATCGAATGATAACGATCAAAATGCTTAACACGACAGAGTACACACTTTTGTAATTATTCATACACAATTTATAAAGAGAAGATATTTGTCTCATGATTTATGAATACAAATCAAAATGAACTGTAAACAAAATACATCTGTTTGCTTTTTTTATAATAAAAAAGTGTCTAATAACATTTTCTAATACAAACTATCAGAATATTACTAATAATATCTAATAGAAACTCCCATTAGACAGAGGCGTTCTGTCCACCATCCCTCGCACCGAAGACTCGGCCTTACTGGCCCTTACTAGGGGGACCGGGCATGATCCCCGGAAAAAATTGAAATCTAGACCCTCTGAAACTCAATTTCCTGCATTTTGAGGGGCAGATTTTGCTGACACAAAAGGTTTTAGCTTGATTTTTGAGGGGCGACGCCCCCGCCCTGGTGCCACCGCTACTGTTAGAAGCGTCTTTCGTCACCTACGGTAGTTATTCTCCGATAAAATCTAATGATTTATAAGAATTAGTTTAAAAGAAATTATTTTAGCGATATCACGTGACTGAAAAAATTTAAAATAATGTAATTTTTATTTAAAAAAATAAAAAAACGTAAATCCGTAGACATGGGCAAGGTATAAAATGTAATCAGCTATTTTATTCGTCCTGTAATTTGTACACAGATATTATTTTTATAAGCGCATAAAGATTTTTCAAATTAAATGTCGCAATTTGTACGCAATTTCTAATTTTGATTGTTAAACTCAAATTATCAAACATATTATAAAAATGTAATTAGGAATTTGCTTTTATATGTAAAGTGTAAAAAACTACTTTTTACTGTAAATGGAATTTTCATTTAATTTTCTGTAAACACGTAAAATGCCGTTTTTATTCCTGTAATATGTACCAGCTACCCCCTCCCCCTCATACTAGTATAACATTTTCATTTCATTCTCATTTTTTAATAGTAAGTAGTGATACCATGATCAGACGGACTTTCACAAATGTCTGACCTTCTTGTCACAACCAAAGATTACATTTGTAAGTTTAAGTGTTACGTGGTCATATGTATATATTTTAGTTTGGAAAATGTGTGTACTACGTAATTTCACGGTCTTCCATTGACGTACGTGATTTGGAATGGGGCACTGCCATTTACCGCTAATGTTCTTTATCCCAACAGTCACGTATAAGTCGTAGAGCACCTGTGGCGTGAAGCGGTTTCACGTGCATCATGCGATGTAATGCCGAGTACAGTACACATTTCAAAGGTCGAGCTGGCATGCATAATTGTTCTCATTATACTCACGCGAGATTGAAATATCTGGCCAGAAATGTAGTGAGAAATGCCAACGCTATGATAGATATCATATGTCCAATCATGGTTTCACCGCGGTGGTTCTTACAATTCAATAAACTATATAGTTGTCGGACCCGCCGAAGATTGTTGCCTCTGTCCGTTGGAATGCCATGAATCTAATTTGCACCTTTCCTTAGTGGCCTTTGACACCGGAACAACTGACAATCGATGCTCCCACGTGACTATTGTGTGCTTTATACGTTATCTTATACACGTGTTATCATTGCAATTCAATCTAAAAAAACATCTTTTCGATCCAAAGTTATGTGGGGGAACCAGAATTGTAATTACATATTACAGCGTATGACATGGTGGAAGTGTGTACAAATCATTTGCAATCTGAGCAGTAACTGGGTTGGTGTGGCTTGTTGTAGCTTGTGTATTTCCCTGGTAGCGTCGCTTATGTGTGGGCTTCGAACACAACGTAAATGAGCGCCAACATAATACTAGTAACAAATTGCCTCGCTCCCAGGAGCTGAGGAATAAACTACAACTGACTTCACTGTGATGACGCATGCGTTGTAGAATACGGAAGAAGGGCCCGAAGCATGCGTACTGCGTTCACAATATGCTAATAACTTTAACATTAAGTACATATCTCAAAAATATTAAAGGCAGTGGTCGTCACGCTGCGCATGTGCGACATTTGTGTTGATAAACATTGATTTTCCCACAATCCAATGTGATTGGTTGTTGACACATTCTAAATAGGCCATAAATGGAGTCAAGTTTTGTAGTTTTCTTGATTTATTCTGCAGATATCGGTACAATATAGGTATGGCTTTGGTGAAATTTAAAAGAGCAACCAATATTCTTCAAGTTGGTATTTTTTATAGATTTTATTTTCCATTTTTTTTCGTCTGTTTTTTTTTCTTCAGTTTAACAAATATGGGCTCGCTGGAACCTTCATCACTTTCCTATTTCTTACTAGATACCAACCGATACACATTCCCCATAGAGACTGCGTACAGTTGATCATAGTTCCCAGGCACCCTGTGGTACAACAAATAAAATAACACTCTAAAAACAAAGCAGTGAGCGTGAAGTTAGCCTCGGGTTCAGTCTCAGATTCAGATCCCAGTGCCTCAGAAATCCGAAAAAAAAAACAAAAAAAACATGACATTAAAATTTTTTTTTTTAATATAATTGTTTGTTTGTACATTTTATATTTGGTAAAATACATGATGATAACATCACTGCGTTCTGAATCTGAATTTGAAAATAACACTAGGCCAAGTTTGAGGGCGCTAGTGTACCCAAGAATCAGCATACAAAATGTCAGCCTCCATACGTTTTGATCGGCGAAAAGAGTCATGCTTAAAATCAGTGGATTTAAGTAAAAAGGGTAGCATAGACGAGGCGATTATCGATCTTGTCAACTACATTAATCAGCATGAACAGTATTTTACTACTAGTTCATGTTCCGGACGGATAAGCATTTTTACAGAGGTAAAAACATTGAACTTGATCATCTTGTTATTTCTAGGCTGACTGTGGGGTCATTCCAGTTTTTGTCCACCACCCCTTCCCTACGGATGGATATTAAGGTTATGACACCCTATGGTTTCAAATCCACCATTCAGGTGTCGGATTTTTGTTAACTATAAACACACAGCCCTGGAAACTTTACTGATTTGACGTATACGGATGGGTATGAATGAATGTTCTTGTAAATGTAAAACTGTAGTCAAAAATATGACACCTCGGAATTAAACCATCCGTGGGGGGGGGGGTGTACAAAAACTGGAATAACCCGTGGACCTTTCGTAGCTGCAGTTCTGTAGCTCCCTTGGTTTCGCTGTGGGTTATTTCGTTCGTCGTGGTGTTAACGCAACGAATTAACCTGCAGCGAAACCAAGCGATCAGCAGAACTGCAGCTAGAACTTTTGTGATGATACTAGGAAACAGACGTAAAATTCGAGAAATAATTTAGCTGTAATACTAATAAATTGCATAGTATGTTGTGTTTGCGACAGTAGTAACGAGAAAAAAATGGTCTACGAATCTTGATCTATATGGCAACTGTGAACACCCCCACTTACTGTAAAAATAATTATTGTCACTGACATTTAATTTCACTATTTTGATGTTTTGAGCATATTCAAATTCAAAACAATGAGTTTTATTAGCTCCGCTGTCGACTTTGTCGAGCGGAGCTTATCATATGAGTGATTGTCCGGCGTCGTCCGTGTCAATGTTTTACTTTTTCAACTTCTTCTTGAAAACTACAAGCCTGAATGCTTTGATACTTGGTGTATATGTACCTTGGGTAAACCTCTCTTAGGTTTGTTCATTTCATGTTGATATCTTCAATTTTCTAATTTTGGTGAACATTTTTGTCATTTTTGGTAAAAAGTGATATTTTCGACTTCTTGTTAAAAACCACAAGTGCAATTGCTTTGATATTACATATATAGGTACTACATGTGGACCTCTTTCAGATTTGTTCATTTTGTAATGATATCTTTAATTCTCTAATTTTGGTGAATATTTTTGTCATTTTTGGTAAAAGTGGTATTTACGACTTCTTGTTAAAAACCAAAAATTAAATTGCTTTGATATTACATATATAGATACTACATGTAGACCTTTCTCGGATTTGTTCATTTTGTGATGATATCTTCAATTCTCTAATTTTGGTGAATATTTTTGTCATTTTTGGTAAAAAGTGATATTTTCGACTTCTTGTTAAAAACTGTAAGTCCGATCGTTTTGATACTATACATATTGTTCATTTTCTAATGATGTCTTCAGTTCTTTAATTGAAATGTGCACTGCTAACAGCGGAGCTATCTCAGCCGACAGGCTCCTTGTTGTTATTTTACATGATCACGTCGATTTAATTTTGTGGATTTTACTCATCAGCGAAAATAGCAAAATTTAAAACCCAGTGAATAATTTACATGTATGCTTTTGCAGTATTCAAAATGAAGAGTTGCTGATTGGATGGCATTGAATAAATATTGATTAGAACTTGCAATGCCGCAGCCATATCATTACTGGATTGAATTCTACCAGTCATTTCGATTTATAAGAAAAATTACATTAACATTTACAACATCGCCAGTTTCATGCCTTTCACTGTATTCAAATTTATCATTGTTGTGAATTTGCATAATAATAGATTAGTATGGAGCAACCTGCACAAGATTACATGCTGCAATGCTTGGAATATTAGTCCATGTGGTGCTACATGTACCAGTAGCTTGTATGTCTCACTGATAATTATCTCTCTTTTAGGACAGTGAATCTAGTGTAAGGAAAAAAGGCTGTAAATGGTTGTATGTTACACATGGTTCTGCTGACATCAATGGTGTGGTATGTACTATCAGGTGAATGTAGTCATCTTTCGTTCGCATGATGAGTCAGAGACGATCATCTGGAATAGATTAAACCCTTATCTAGTCAGATCAATGTAAGAGTACTTGGCTGATTGAATAATGTTAAATACAGTTCACAAAAACATTGAGATTTTTATTTGAGATTTTTGTGCTATTAATTATTGGCAATAACAGGGGTTTTTCTAGAAAAAAAATGCAAGAGGGAGCACTGCAATTCAGCGGCGCCACCAAGTGGGGGAGATAGGGTTTTTCCTACCAGGGTGTGAAGTTTTTGATAATTCTAAGTTAAAATGGAGCATTCAATGGCTTCCTTAGGCCAAAATTACTATCGGACTTGTGTAATTCCTGGTCAATCAGAATTTTATGGTTGCCAGAGGATCTGCTCCCCAGGGTGAGGGGGCGCATAGCCATGGCATGAGGGCGCTGTGCCCCTGTTTCCTTGTTTAAAAAAATCCCTGAAATAATATAAAATGGGAGTCAAGGACGTCGTTTTTGTGAAAGTTAGATACTTGTATTGTGCTAGTAATATACAGGTTAAACAAGGAAAGGTGAAACTATATCTCATATCTTTAAATTGAGTTATAATTGCACAATAACAGAATAAAGGCAGTGAAGTTGCTCATCACAAATGTAGCATTCACAATCATTTACAATAACAATTTGTGCTTACTGATTATAGCATACATAAAGACACAATGGAAAGCGAGGTGAAGAAATTATATTGAAAAACTTGATTACTATAAATAGATACAAAATAGAATAGTATCATTTTGTACTACACTGCTGACTGAACGTCACAGTGCTTTTTGCAGAGACACCACTTGAACTTGACAAGTAAACTCTGTGAATTTGAGATGACCAGACAATTATTAATTAACACTAAACTTATTAACTACCTTATTTGATGAAGATGCCTCTAATAATATTGACTCTACAATATATCTTAAAATGCATGGTCAAAACAGATCATGATGCATTATAGTCTCTACTTTGATCATTGGAAATGACATAATTTTTACATTAACAGTAGATGAACTGGGAAATTAAGTTCAAATCTTTCATAGTATCTCTAAGTACCGCAAACATCATTTCTGCGGCTTTATTTCTGTTTTTCGAAAATAACACCTCTCTATTTGCACAGCGATCACATGATTACTCGGTTCCATTTTTTTGTTGGAATATTTTTTTCATATTATTTGAAAAATAAGCTTTCTAAAAATATAATACTTGATGGGATTCAAAGAATATGTTACTTCAGAAATGAGCTATGCAATTGCAATAGAAATAACCTACTACATCCTTATAAAAGTGTGATTGTGTGTGCATTTTTAGAATGGCGTTTTTAATTAGTCCATATTTCTTAATAATACTATTCAGTTAATAGCTCTTTAACGTACATCATATTACAGAAAGAATCAGTGCATGACATCGAAGATGATGCTACATTGAAATTTGAACCATTTGTTTTGCATGTACAATGTAGAACATTGGAAGATGCAAGGCTATTGGTAAGAAACAAAATTCTACTGTTGATTTCACTTGTAATTAAACATACTGTTTTAGTTTCAAAAATAAAGATCAGATCAATAGGTCTAGTGCAGTACCCCCTAATCCTGGCACTCTTTAAGGGGTGAAGTTGAGTATTACAGTAAAAATTTATGTTTTTATATTATGTTTTGTACTTTAATGATGACTGCTTGCAATATTAATGTGCACATACTGCAAATTTTCATGAGTACATTTACTGAAAATATCAATGGTGTCCTAAATATATGGTGCAACATTGACGTTTGCAAATTGTTTTCCTCACGAACATTTAATCGTGAAAGTTTCTAGCAGCACAAATAAAAAGTTGACTGTATATCGATAAGTGTATGTACGTAAATAATAATATTGTGTCTATGCAATCATTGGTTTGTGTGCGCTTAAAATAGTGCAAATACAGTACTAGTATACACCATGGAATTAGCCGATAAAAATCAGCAACTGGACTGATATCATATTGAATTTACAATATTTATATACAGACCAATGGCATAGTAATAAAACGCAATAAATAATAATGTTCGTACATTCCTTTTAATATTTATTATTATTTCTGACATCCTTTTGCAGCATCAAGTTGCAATTGAATCAGGTTTTCGTAATTCTGGAATGTCAATCGGTAAAAGTGGTAAAATAATTGCAGTAAGTTTTATTATTCTTTACTAGTTATAATCTCACACA